GGGTTGAGTTGACGTCCCATATCAAAAGGCGGTTGTCGTTTCCGCCCGAGGCGAGGAACTGGTGGTCGGGCGACCACTGCAGGCCGCACACCTCCTGGCGATGCCCGATCAGCTTGCTCGTGTGCGGCGACCGCTCCCGCACGTCTCTGTTGATGATCAGTCTGTCCCGACTCCCTGTTGTAACCCAACCCAACACGTTATATAGAGTGAGTACAAATGCGTCGCGTGTGCGTGTGCGTGTGCGGTGGCACGTGTAAGTGTGCGTTGTTTACCAGAGGTGACGACGCTGTCTCGCCACGAGAGCGCGCCGATGCGCGATACGTGGCCGCCGAACTCTCGGATCTTGGTACGCTTGGCCACGTCCCACTGTTGCACCACCCCCTTGTTCGTGCCCACCGCCAAGTGCGTGCCCTGCGCCAAGAGGAAAAATGTGCAACACAGTCAGCACATTATCTTAACAATATATAAATAAATACATATTATATATACATATGAAAAATGCTCAGGAAGGTATGGCAGGCTGCGAGTACCCGTGCATTCCAGTTGACGGAGGTGACGGGGTCGGAGGGCGCGAGCTCGCAGAGGTTGGTGACCTGGCCCGTGCCCGCATTCCACAGGTACACGCAATTGCCCAGCCCGACCGCCAGAATGTTCTGAGAGGACCAGTGCACGAGGTTGAGGTAGAAGTCGTCCCTGATGGCCGGCACCTCCAATACGCGGAACGGCGACTGCACACGACACACACGACACGCACACGACACACACGACACACACGACACACACGACACACACGACACACACGACACACACGACACGACGCACGGCCGAGCGCGATGAGTGCAGCACAGAAAGCGGAGCGATGCAAGGAAGAATGTACGGTGGCTATCTTGCGGGGCGTCTTCGGCGGCGTCCGCAGGAGCTCCTGGGAGCGCTTGGAGATGGGCGATTCCGAGGTGGCCGGCGTGGTCGCACACCCCACAGCGTCGCCTGCAGGGGGGAGAGGAATGACAAATATGCACGCGCATGCATTTGGCAGGTCTTGCTTACCGTCGGGCTTGTATTGGAAGAGGCGGCGGCGGCAGCTCTTGGTGGGCTTGGTCTCCCCCAGCAGCTCGCTGCGCAGCACCAGCTCGTAGGGCGACATCGACTCTGGGAGCGCAGACAGAGTTTGGGCATCATCAGCCGTGAGGGGCAGCCACAGGGCATCGGAGTGGTGTGGATGTGGTACCCTTGCCCGGAGAAGAAGAGAGCTGAGGCGGCGAGGTGGGGCTGGTCGGCGACAAGGCCGCGGCGGCGAGGAGCGCCGCGTGCTTCTCAAAGTCGTCGGCCAGGTTCCTATGCACTCGGCTCGGTACAAACCTTGTGGGATAAAATGAATAAACAATTGAATTGATTAAAAATAATAATAAATAATTCAAAAAGGAATAATTGTAAAAAATGGAAAGGAATAACAAGATGGATTATGATGGGTCTGGTACCGATCGCCGCATTGAGTCTTCTTCTTGGGTGGGCTGCTCGATGGAGAGGATGAGAGGGGCTGGCGGTCGGTGGGGGACTCAGTTGCGAGGGCGCCTTCAGCATCGGTCGTTCGGGCGATCCGCCCAAGTGGGGGTGGTAGTAGCTTCCCTTTACGCGAGAGGCTGATGAAGCCAACGTGTTGCTGGTGGGCTCCTTGTTCTCTCGCCTCACGACTCCCAACAGCGTCGCGACATCCATTACAGATGAATCTCTGGCGAAGGGAGGGCTGCAGGCCTATGTGTAGAAAAGAAAGAAGATAGAAGAGTTGGGGGTCGAAGTGGTCCTCTCGATCAGTCGTGTAGGCCAAAAAGAAAATCTCTCCAAATTCACGCCAAACTTGTCCCCAAACTTTCCTGCCAAACTAGCCGTTAATGTCGACGGAAAAGAAAATGAGGTGGGCGGTAACTTCCCGGATTGGTAGATGCAATCCGGGATTATGTCCGGGTTGCAAAACGGGGTAACGGTCACGGAGCGGTGGCGTTCGCGTTGTGGCGAGGACGAGAGAATGGTCGCGCACCTGCCCGCTTTTGTTCTGGCGTGTGGGTGGAGGCAACCCAACGGTCACCCAGCCGTTGCTGAAATTGGCTAATTCACTTTCGGACTTGGACTTGTGGTAGCGGTCTTGCCCGCCGTCCACGTTCACCACCTCACCACCACAAACTGCTTAGACCCGGTTTTGCTGATACCGAGCCAACACCGCGCCGCAAGGCACAATGATTGTTCTTCTATTCTTTGGTTTCTTTATTGCCCTTTTTTTCCATCCCACAAGCGGAGAGGGGGTGGCGGGAGAAGAGGTTGAAGAAGGCCGAGGCGGCGACGTACAAGGTCGGACCTCCCGAAAGGGAGGCTCCATCTGTTAAAATTGGAACGATACAGAGAAGATTAGCATGGCCCCTGCGCA